ACTCACCCACCGCAAAGCATATGACACGAAAACGTCAAGAGTTTTACCTGAATACGTTAGATTCTGGCAGATATATAGCCATCAATTAGAACCGACAATGTGTTTACGGAAGAAACTGACACAGGCTACTATGCATTCCTAGTGCCATTGGCCTCCCGTAAGCGACTCTGTTCTACTCTTTAATCTTGTTGATTACACGTTACATGGTAACCATTTAAAGGTGATGAAAGTCTGTTTTCAACAATCTATGACCACTGTAATAGTTAAATGAATGAAACGCTTCCACTGTTCTATGCAAATATAGATGTCAACTGGCGGATCAAAGTAACACATTCTTAGTGGACCGACCGTTGTGTTCCAATATATTAACAATTTATATTCAAGATCATTCAACAAGCGGAATCAGATCCTCGTCTCGTGATCAGAAACGGCCAATTAGCTGCTCGTTTGACTGGCTTCATTTCAAAACATAGTGAGTTTGTGTTGTAATGGGACATTGTAACAAAATGGAAAGATCAGAGCATGAGATTCTGTCGCCTTGAAAGTGGACTTGGGATTGCAGTTGAGTCACTCTCGGGAACTATTCTTTGCTTGTGTGACTTAAGAAAGATAAAGGTGACAGCGGGACATTAGAGCGTTTTCAACAACTTGGTGATTCGTGCATTCGGTTTAGTTTGAGGAAGCGAACAGTATATTCCATTCTCCATTAACTGGATACTCCTGGTCTTGTTATGTTTTCGAAATTTTGCAATAGTGAGTTGTACTCAGTACCAAGGTGAGGGATGGTGCCCTTACCTTCCTTCAATATGTCGCCACTGGCAAGCGAAACCCTGACAGAACTAAGTCCGATGTCAGTGATGCCTCAAAGCACCAACGTTCCAAAACTTCTGGGTTTAGTAAATTTGGCATACCGCACACTTTTGCCACTTTACTACATGAGAACAAATATCGTTTTTATATCTTTGAAGTTATTATTTTTGTCAGCTGAGCAGTAATCAGCCTTTCGAATGCCTATCACGTG